TAGTATCCAGGTATGTATCCCCCACGGGGCCTGGAGCACAAGCAAGGACTAGGTAGATGAATGAATACTGAATGAATAACTGTGTTGATCTCCTTGACTTTGGTCCTGCTGGGCCTCTTCCCACAAAGCCTTTCCTTCCTCCTCCTCCTCTTCCTCCTCTTTCTCCTCCTCCTCCTCCTCCTCGTCCAAGCCCCACAACTTTCATCCTTCAAGGCGCAGCTGAGGGTCTAGCTTCTCCAGGAGGCCTTTTTCAACCCACTGAGCCCACCATGCTACGTCCTGCCCTTTTATATTCAACCCCCAGCAGCGCCTGCACCCAGAGGAAATTCAGTTCCGTGGCCCAGGGTGTCCCCCGCGCCTGCACAAGACCAGCAGAGTGGGCGACGTCACAGATGTGACATGTCTACTGTGGAGTGAGTGACTCGGCATGGTTCCTCCCCAGGGGGACAGCTGACCGGTAGGAGTTCCCTGTTGCTGCCGTAACAAACCAGTACGAGCTCAGTGGCTTACAACACAGATTTAACCTTACATTCCTGGAGGTCAGAAATGGGTCTCATTTCCTTTTTCAGCTTCTAGAAACCTTCTAGAGGCTGCCTGCATTTTTGGCTGGTGGTCAACTCCCATTTTCAAAGCCAACAAAGGCTGATTGTGTCTTCCCTACATGCGGAAACCCCAAGATACTCTCCCCAGCTCGAAGTCCTTAAATTAATCACGCCTGCAAAGTCCCTTTTGCCAGGAAAGGGCAACCCATTCACAGGTTCCGGGGATCGGGACATGGACATCTTTGAGGAGGGGCATTTTCTGGCTGCCGTAATCGCTGTCCCGGTCATCGGAGGGCACTGCGGCTGGTGGCATATTAATACTAATTGACATTTACTGAACATTGACTTGGGGCCAGGACCATCCTGAACACATCACTCAGCGCTCTGCGGTGGGTGCCATTGGTACCACCTTCACTGCGAGACTAAATAACTTGGCAAGTGGCGGAGCTGGGATTTGAACCCATGCCGTCTGGCTCCACTGTGTGCTCCTCCTAACCTTGAGGCTACACTGCCTCTCTGTGACCATTCTCACCTCCAAGATAAGAGCCAGCAGGCTAGGCTGTGAGAGGCCAGGCAAGGTCTGAAGCCCAACAGGAGAGGGAGGATTTTCATGGAGATTTTCTGGGTGAGGCCCAGTCTGGATCACAGATTCACAGGCCCCTCCCATTTCTCACCCCATTAGGGGTACCTAAGCCTTGGGGAGCTGCAGGGAGCTTCCAATGGTTCTTTTTTTTTTTTTTTAAATGTTTTATTTATTTCTAGGAGAGAGAGAGAGACAGCGTGAGCAGGGGAGGGCCAGAGAGAGAGGGAGTCACAGACTGAAACAGGCTCCAGGCTCCGAGCTGGCAGTCAGCACAGAGCCCGACGCGGGG